CCGCGAAGAAAAAGTTATAGAACGCTCTAAAGTTATAGAACACTACCCCTAAAAAATAAAAAGTTGTAGAACGCCCTATAGTTATAGAACGCCCTAAAGTTATACAACGCCCTAGCGTTATAGAGGAGGCCCAGATCATGAGCAGAGGCTACAAAAAGGCTGAGAAGGAAGGCTTCTCGGTCACGACTGTCATGATGCCATACTCTAAGCAGTCCAAACGTGCCGCCAACTCATGGGGTACATACGCCGTTCCCTCCAAAGAAGCCCGACGCCAGAACCCCGAGGCGGTCCTCTCCTCACATTCTGTGCCATCATCATCACCCAACCCACAGGCCCCCGAGCATGAGGATTTCGCTACCGTCGCCCAGGCCAAGGAGCAAGGTCCCGTATTGGGTATATTGCCAAGCTGCTTCAACTCCTTGTCTGCCTGCCAGAAGTCAACGCACAACTGCTCCAGCCACGGCGAATGTAAGCTCCTGCACAAGGGCCGCGGATCTGGCAAAGATACAGAGACGGTAGATTGCTATGGCTGTGCCTGCGCTCCTACTGTCAAGCAGACAGGCGAAAAGAAGGGTGAGCAACAGGTGACCTACTGGGGCGGTCCAGCTTGCCAAAAGAGGGACATTTCAGTACAATTTTGGCTCTTTGCTCTGAGCGGTGTTGTACTGGCTTTCTTGGTCGCGGCTGGCATCGGCATGCTGTACTCAATGGGCAGTGAGGAGCTCCCTAGTGTCATCGGTGCTGGCGTCAGTGGGCCTGTGAGGAAGTAGACGCCAGCCACAAGAGGAAGAAGACTCGAGGATTCTTTTTCGCTTGGTAGGTTAGGGTATAAGACCTGAGAACGAGATTTGTATATTGGGGTGTGTAACACCGCTGATGGATGAGAGAGTCCACAAATATGTATCATTATCTTGACCGGGGGTCATTTCCGTTTCAAGGCGTTGGATAGCATTGTAATTGACCACATGAAGTACCCAAAAAGATCACAATAAGAGGCCACCGTGAATATACAACCAGAACTAGAGCTATCATGGCATACACGCAGACCCAAAAACCCAAACGCCCGGCAATGCAAGAAGCGCGGTCATGAAAGACCATCTCTCCTGAATCCACCTTGAAGCCCCAAGCCGATGGTCGGTGATGCGATTCACCCTACCCACCCCCCCTGCCTTCTGTTTCCCGACTGTCGGCTATCTACGCCTTCGCAGCCTTCTTCGTGCCCTTGCCAACGCTGCCAGCAGGACCACCAGCCTCTACCAGTACAGCCTCGTCTTCGCTGCTCTTCACCTTCTCCTCGTCCAGCTCCTTCATAAAGGCCGACTGAATCTCCGCCTTGCGCTTTGCCCACCACTCTCGCTCTTCAGATGTCTTTGACATGATCTCACTCAGGCGGTCCCTGATCTGTGTGTTTTGTGCCATTTCCGATGCTGACTGGAAGATAGTCTGACCCCAGTTGGGGGCAAACGCGTTGGCCTAGGCAATCGTCTGTTAGTATACTGCACCATGCTAGCGTACAAGCGGAAAGGGCTACTATTACTAACCTCCTGTACGACATCCTTCAACTCCTCTTCAATCTCCTTCTCAGCCCTCTGGAACCTCTGCCACAGATCATCTCCAACGCTGCCCCTCTGCAACAAGACCTGCAGCGCCTGCTTCGCATTACGAATCTGCACGATCCTGTGGATGTCCTCGGTTGCACGGCGAAGGAGGGCAGCTTTTAGGACGCTGTCAGGCACCTTGGGCTCGTCCATGTGGAGGAGGGTCAGATAGATGTTGCGCTGGAGGTGGGCGGGGAACCATGGCTCGAGGGAGGCGGCAGATGCGGCTTTGCGCTTGCGATAGAGGTTGGAAAAGACGGCGAGGGATCCGATCAGAATGAAGAGGTAGGCAATGGGGATACTGAGCATAAGCCAGTCCACGGCGTCGAAAGGCCACATGTTGCGCGGTCTGATGTGGGATGTGTGGGATGGAAGAAGATGGCCGGGTTCGAGGGGTACTCCCAAAGAAGATTTGTAGAAAGGCTCGATGAACCAACCGTAAAGGCGGTTTTACCGGTAGTTGGATTGATGCAAAAGGAGGGGCAGTGATATCATGAAGGGGATATAGTACCACGAAAGACCAAAGCCGCTGTTGTTGTTGTTGTTGTAGGAACAGTAGAAGGAGAGATGGTCGGGGAGTTGCGCGCGCCCGCTATTGTGAATGTGGCTTTGTTTGGTGAGTTGCCAATTATCTGGCCTGTTCTTTCGGAAAGTTCCGAGCGTTTCGCGTATTGGACTTTGGGCGCGCGTCATTCTGCCGCCTTCCATGTCGAGAACTCGCGAGCGTCGACATGGAGAATAGGTAATCAGAATCAGAGCATCTCTCACCTTCATCCTCAACCCCACCTCCCCCCCCTCAAGCCCCCACCTTTTACTTTGGCCTGCTGTGCTGTCCTCTCTATATTGATCTCACGGAACTACCAGCCCCATTGTTCTGCCACCTCCCGTGGATAGACAAGAACAGCCTTAACAAGCCTGCCATGATACTTAGGTTTGTGAGCAAAGAGGGCCAGTTCCGGCTGAGCGTCGAGCCCACGACCACCTTCCCAGAGATTCTCCCACAACTGGCAGAGAAGCTGCCCAAGAACGTAGATGTCCAGAGCATCAGCGTCAGTAACAAGCCACATGGAGGCGATGCGAGGAGAATTGCCAGTCTGCAGGGCGTCTCGTTTGAGCAAGTCGGGCTGTCGTGAGTAGCTTTTGCTTGCAGCTTTCCCGAACCACAGCATCATTACTAAATAACGTCATAGCCATGGTGCACAGCTCTTCCTCAGCTTTGACGAGCAGTCTTCGATATCAAATGGCCACGATGCCGCCCCGTCAGGCTTCGCTCGCCTGAATGGCAAGCCCGTCGCCGCTTCGGACGTACCCTCCGTACCCCTCGGAGGTGCCACGCAATACATCAAGAAGCCATGGGAAGTTGTCAAGCAGTCACCCCTCGACGACAGATTAGACAAGCTCGACGGCAAGATCCCCCGCAAACGCGATGCTCGCATGTGCACCCACGGCCCAAAGGGCATGTGTGACTATTGCATGCCCCTCGAGCCCTACTCGGCGGACTATCTCGCCGAGAAGAAGATCAAGCATCTTTCCTTCCACTCGTACTTGCGCAAAGTCAACTCTGCGAAGAACCGGCCGGAACTTGGAAGCTCGTACATGCCCCCACTCACAGAACCGTACTATCGCGTACGTCCCGACTGCCCCTCGGGTCACAAGCCGTTCCCAGATGGCATTTGCACAAAGTGCCAGCCCAGTGCCATTTCGTTGAAACCTCAGGAGTACCGCATGGTGGATCACGTCGAATTCGCCTCGATACAGGTGGTGGATGATCTCATCAACTTTTGGAGAAATACTGGCTGTCAACGGTTAGGCTTCTTGTATGGCAGATACGAGGAGTACACAGAGGTGCCACTGGGAACAAAGGCTGTTGTAGAGACCATCTACGAGCCACCGCAGGTCGATGAACAGGATGGCATATCATTGACAGACTGGAACAACGAAAAGGAGATCGACGACATTGCAGCACAGTGTGGTCTCCAGAGAGTTGGTGTCATATTCACAGATCTGCTCGACGCGGGCCAAGGCGACGGTTCTGTTGTTTGCAAGCGTCACTTTGATTCATACTATCTTTCGTCTCTCGAGATTGTTTTTGCGGCACGGTACCAGGCCAAATACCCCCGACCATCAAAATGGAGCGACACTGGGAAATTTGGATCTAACTTCGTCACTTGCGTAATCAGTGGAGATGATAAGGGGCAAATTGGCATCTCATCCTACCAAGTATCGAACGACGCAGTCGAGATGGTTCGAGCTGACATTATTGAACCTTCGGCTGAACCATCGGTGATGCTGGTTCAGTCCGAGGAAGACAACGAAGCTCTTAACCGCGCGCGCTACATCCCAGAGGTATTCTACAGAAGGATAAACGAACACGGCGCAAACGTACAGGAGATTGCGAAACCAGACTTTCCTGTCGAGTATCTTTTGCTTACACTAACGCACGGCTTCCCAACGCAACCAAATCCTCTGTTCACAGGTGGCAAGTTCCCGATTGAGAATCGTGAGATTATGGGCGAGATGGCGGATGTCTCGACATTAGGCAAGACGCTCAATGCAAAGGCAAATGGCCTCGCCCTCAACACATCAAGCGGTGTAAACGCTATTTCGAATTTCCATCTGCTATGCTTCATCCACAATCTAGGCATATTGTCCAAGGTATGTATCCCACTGTCCTTTCTCGCCTACATGCTAATTGATCTGATAGGACGAGGAGTCCCTCCTCTTCAAAGTAGCATCAACACACGACACTTCAGAGGGCTCAGCACTCCAACACAGCGGAGGCTGGGCAACACTTTTGACAATTCTCAAAGAAAGTGGTGAGCGCCCCCCGAAACGTTCCTTCCAGTCTTCCCCTCCTTTCTACCAGACCGCACGGGGGGCTGCTCATTCACATCTTTCTGCTGAGCAGGAGCGTCGTATTAGGCGGCAGCCCTCCCAAGGTTCAGACTCCGATTCAGTACAGTTGGCTAAAAGGGTCAAGGGGGTTAGGCTAAACGGGACTGATGACATGTTATGACCATGCCTGATGCCTGAAGCTGGTGCCCTGATTCTTAGGTTCGATCCGGATATGCGATTCTTCGCCACGAGCGATGTCGAGGTCGGAATGGCACATGTTAGGCCATGGGATAAATGGGTGTGACTTTTGAAGAGCAGGCAATATATGTAACTACATCTACATGCTCACGATCCATTGTATGAAGTCGAATGAGAGGAATGAAATCAATATCGTCTAGAGAAATATAACAAATTATACATTCTCTTGAGCAATGTTCTACTTTCAAAAGCTGAAATCGTGATTGGTGACGACGTGACGACGTCCGTGCGCTCAACGCGCGTTCCACTTTAGCCTCGCGAACGTCTGAACCTCACGCAACAGTTCAAAACATTCAAGTGTTACCACAACAAGTTGTCAGCAAAGATGGCAGACTTCTTCAACATCAAAGCTCGACAACAACAAGCTGCACAAGCTAGCTCCTCAAAAGCACCCACCTCCAAACAAGAGTCAAATCGCCTCCAACCATGGGTTGAGAAGTAGTATGTAAATTCACTGCCCTACCATTCCCCCCACTCTCATAATCATGATTCGGAAGTAATAATAATACAAGAAAATAAAAATCTAACACCATCATAAAACCCCAGCCGCCCCAAAACCCTCTCTGAAGTGACAGCACAAGACAACACCATCCAAATCCTCTCGCGGACCCTCCAATCCTCCAACCTCCCACACATGCTCTTCTATGGCCCCCCCGGCACCGGCAAAACCTCCACCATCCTCGCCCTCGCCAAACAACTGTACGGACCCGACCTGCTCAAATCACGCGTGCTCGAGCTCAACGCCTCGGACGAACGCGGCATCAGCATCGTACGGCAAAAAGTAAAAGATTTTGCACGACAACAGCTCAGTCTCGCGCCGAGCTACTCGGTCATGGTCGAGGATAAAGCAGCGGCTGGACGGGGCGAGGACGAAGCCGCAGGCACAGGCGAGAAGAAAATGGCACGCTATCGCGACGTCTATCCCTGTCCACCATTTAAAATCATTGTCCTAGATGAGGCAGACAGCATGACGCAGGACGCACAATCTGCACTGCGCAGGACAATGGAAACATATAGTCGCGTCACGCGCTTCTGTCTCGTATGCAACTACGTCACGCGCATCATCGATCCGCTCGCGAGTCGGTGCAGCAAATTTCGCTTCAAGAGTTTGGATCAGGGGAATGCGGTTAGGCGGGTCGCCGATATCGCGAGGCTCGAGGGCGTTGCGCTGGATCCGGGGGTCGCGGAGGAATTGGTTAGGGTGGCCGAGGGTGATTTGAGGAAGGCGATTACGTTTTTGCAGAGTGGGGCGCGGTTGGTGGGTGCGGTGCAGGCGAATGTGGCTGCGGGCACGGGGCGGAAGAAGAGGGTGGTTGAGGAGGGCGAGGGGGAGGGGGATGAAATGGATATCGATGCGCCTGCGGCAGCTGCGCCGTCTACGGCTGGGACAACGGTGTCGCTACAGGCTATTGCTGAGATTGCAGGTGTGATTCCACCAGAGACTTTGGCTGGCCTGATGGACGCTCTGTTTCCAAAGTCAAAGGCAAAAGCGATACGGTATAATGAGATTGCAAAAGTGGTCGAGGATATGGTGGCTGAGGGCTGGAGTGCAACGCAGACGGTCAGTCAGCTGTACGAGAAGATCATGTATGATGAGCGGGTCGAGGATGTGAAGAAGGTGCGGTTAGCCGGTGTCTTCAGTGAGACGGATAAGAGGCTGGTGGATGGTGGGGATGAGCATTTGGCGGTGCTGGATCTAGGGGTGAGAGTTGCGGGAGTGCTGTGTCAGGGTTGATGGGATTGAGCATGAGCATGAGCAATTGGAGATGGTGTGAGCGTTGAACAAGAGCAATGGGTACATTAAAGCAACAAAAGCCTGGAAAGCTTTTCTTGAAAGCAATTGGGGATATCTCGGAAAGTAATGTACACCGTAAACGCCCATCCGCCCACCATTAGTGCCACCTATGCGGAGACCCCCCATCGTAATTCGTAACGCCGACTCCATGTTCCAATCGAATCATGGCCGACTAAGAGTTTTCCATCTTCCCTTAAAATACCTCCAGAGGTCTTGAGATGTCTTGAATGTGCAACTCGTACGAAGCCCAGGCACGATAAACGCTCTAAGCAAATAGACAAAATCCAGCACCAACCGCAAACCACATGACTGCGGCCAACGCCTCCGTCCCAACCGTATTTCTAACGCCGCCCGAGACAGCCGACGTGGTAGCCGAAGCAGAAGGCGCACCGGTAGTAAGAGTACCATTGACGGACGGAAAAAGCGAGCCCGTTCCAGTAATGCTAGGAGCATGCTGCAGCGACTTAGTGATCGTGATCTCCGAAACCGCCAACGTGCCCGATACAGATGTGGCATTGTTGTCTATGACCGATACCAGTGAGACGGTACTCGGGCTCGACTCGCCATCCATCGCCTCGGTCGCCGTGGCACTCGCTGATGCTGCTTGACTAGTGGTACTCACACTGAGGGCTGTGAACTCGGCAGTAGGCGTAGCATCGACTGCGGCCACCGAGACGACAGGAGTAGCGGGATAGAATTCAGGCAAGAGACTCTTGACATCCTTGGGGAGCTTGGCGAACCATTCTGGCTCCGGGGCGTCGGAGGGAAGGGGCGTGGATGGCAGCGAAACACTAGCCAGCGCCGTCTTGAGGACAGAGAGAACGGAGAGTTGAGTGGGGTTCATGTTTGCAGGGTCGATTGCACGACCTAGAAGCTCATTCTGAGCAAGGGAAGCGTACACGCTGGCGGTGAGCGCAGGAAGAATGAGGAGGAGCTTCATGGTTGCTGAAGCTGAGTGTGCGTTGGGATTATGGATGTGGATGTGGATGTGAAATGTGTTTGTTTGTGTGTATTGGCGAGGAACTGTCAAGTAACGAGTGTGTGGTCGACGGGAAAGAAAAGACTGTGGGTTGGTGGGCCAAAGTTGTAATGGGCAAGAGCAGAGAGCGAGTGAATGACGGGACGAGCGTTTGCTGTTGTTGACTAGCAAATAAACGCAGGACGGGAAGGCGCGAGTGCGCACAGCGCTGAAATGATTGAAAAGAGCGAGCGAGCGAGCGAGCGAGAGAGAGAGAAGAGAGAGAGAGACAAGTACCGGTAACAGGTTGGCCTGAGGATGTTGTAAACTTGTAAAGCAATTGCACCTCTGCTTGAGCAATCGCGCACTACAGTCTCTCAGAACAACCGAAGTAAGGACAGCAGCGTAGGTCGTACAAGAGCATTTTCCTTGTCCTCACGAATCACAGCCCTGGCACCAATAATCGCGACTTTCTGAGATGAGACATTGTGACACATTACCATGAAACAAAGGCACAATGAGAAATTGGCAGGACAAAGGTGCTGGAGAAGAGTGGCATTGTGCCATGCAAAGATACGCCAAGGATGTGTAGGAACATTGACAAAAGGCAGTGGGCCCTTCTTTGCGATTCAACAACTCAAAGCACTCCATCACGTTGTATCTGCGAGATCTTTGCAAGTAGACGTGGTCATGTTGGGTGATGTTGGCGATGTTCACCCCTTGCGCTCATTTTCTGCTGGCTGTGTCGCACTACGTTTGGCACTAAAGGGATATCAATAGAGTGAGAGCATATTATGTAAGTTGACCATCGCTTAAGTCCTAGGCTGCAATCTGTAGTCATGGTTCCTTTCGGTACTCTAGTTACACATCATTCAGGTAAGCGTCGATTGAGTTCCAGCGTGCGTGATGTACCATCTTGAAAAAAACTCTGCTGAATATGGATCACTTGCTCTACCCTTGATAACACACTCGACAGCTGTTTCTAGGCTTATCTCAGGGCCCTTGTTGGATATCGAAGCCGAATCCCAAGCATAGGGCATATGAAGACTCGCTAAACAGTACCGGTACTTGCTAGTACTATGCACCATCCTCGGGGACGAGCAGACTAGATACTTCTTTCGCAATTAAACTAGGGAGACATACCCAACACTCCAGCGGGTATTTTACTCGACAAGTTTTCCATGAAGGGGCTACGATTCAAAGATGCAGGATTGGCTTGGAGAAAAGGCTCGGAAAACTCGGGGTGAACGCAATGCACTGTTGTTGACAGTCGGACTGTGTAGTATCTGTTCGGGACCGATTTTCAACTTGTAGTCCACGTCTGGCTTACCGGCTCAGGTTACGAGATATATACGGTTCAATATGTTGCGAATTGATGAGGTAGATGATCATGGTACACCGCATATACAGACGATGTGATATACTGTAAGGAATATCGTTGCCGGTACCTACCGGTACCAGAGCGATGCAAAGTCGCACATGCTGATTTGATGGAAGTAGGCCGAAAAGCTTGTAGCTACTGACAGAAAGATGCTGTCGGATATCCCGGCCAACTTATAGTACCTAAAGCTTACATATATGTGTATCGCTCTCCCGACTTATTGAAGTCGCATGGATGGTTAGGATCAACGCTCTGAATAGGCCGCAAGCGCCGCACGCACAGACACATGGACTACCCCACAGGCGGACGAACCGAGGTATCCATCCACATTGTTTGGGTCAGGAACGCCTACAACAGTGCCATGTGAATGATGGACTCAAGATCTGGCGTCTTCAGTATGGGCTTGCGGGGGCTTGGGCAATATTCCATGGGTGTGAAGGGCTAGGCAAAGGCTCGTAACGTGGTCGCATGTAGGTATATAGGAACAACACTCCTCCCACTTGACCTCAAGACACTGTCAACGTACCACCTCCATAGTAGCACCACCACCACCTCCAAGACACATACCACGCAAGCATACAGAATGGCTGCTCCAGCAAGCGTAACTATCAGGGACCTTCAGGGCAAGTGGGTCATGGTACGTTGCAGCACCTCACCTCCACGTCAGATTGTACCCGTTCACAGGTACTGACAAACATGCATTAGAACAAGTCCCTCTCCGACGCCTTTGACCCTGTCCTCTCTCTCCAAGGCATCGGCTGGTTGACCCGCAAAGCTCTGGGTGCAGCAACCGTAACCCAGTCTCTCAGCCAGTCCTCGGTGACTGGTGAAGACGGCCAGCCCACCACCAAGATCCTCATCGACCAGACCATCACTGGTGGTCTCAAGGGCACAGCCGAGACCCGCATCCTGGACTGGCACTACCGCAGTCACACCGACTGGCTGTTTGGCACGCTCCAGGGCCGCTCGCGTTACCACACATTAACCAAGATTCTGGAGGAGAGCAAGGGTCAAGGTGTGGTGGAAGAAGATGCAAAGTACGTTACAGAGGGGTGGCTGAAGGAGACGGAGGACGGTGAAGTGCTAGAGAGCTTTGTGGACAACGATGGGAACAAGTGGACAGGTTGGCAGGTGTGGGGCTTTGCCGAAGTCGACGGCAAAAGGATGTTTGTGAAGAAAATTGCTGTTCGACGAAAGGACAAGGATGAGGTCAAGAGGGTTCGCTTGGTGTATGACTATGCTGGAGCATTGGAGTAGATTGTTTTAGGGTCACGAGAATGTCTTAGTTCTATCAATGCCACTACTTCTCGAGTCTTCACATGACGCGTTCGTCTCCATATTCGGCGTGGAAATCCCTCGAGAGCAAGATCGTGAGTGACACGGCTTCCATCTATTGCGCATCGTGATGCACCGGAAGATGACGTACGACCGCAATCGCTTTAGCCGGGGCGTTGCACAGTTCAAGAAAGGAAGCCATTTGCTGGTGTGTAACCGAGTCAATAGATACTTGTGAGATAACGAGTAATGCTATAGCCAGGGGATGCGGCTCACAAAAGACTGCAATTAACTGCAGTGTACATATCACGACCGACGCCAGCTATGCACGAGTATCCAACAAAGCTCCTCCACATTATCAGCCACCAACTCATTCAGACATGAGAGTGTCCATGGTGTTTGAACTTATCATTGCCTTTACAGTCCTGACGGCTACCATCCTTGTCGCTCTTCTGCTATACTTCTTCCATCATCTCAAGCGGCGCAGGGCTCAACAAAGTACAAACCCAGATCACGAGGAAACCAGCCAATACACACCAGCAGAACTTCTTTCACGCAGCTTGTCTCGTCGGCTGTTTCATCGGCCATTACCAACGGAGCGAGACGTTGAGCAGCAGCGCCTGTCCATGAAAACGCCACCTCTGTTATTACTACCAGAGATCGAGACGAGCGACGATCGGGCTCTTGAATGGCTTGAAAAGGGAAAATGCAAGGAGGTCCGTTTTGAGGACTTCGGCGTGGAACATCCATCCAAGACCTACCAGGCGAGGGGGGTCATGAGCGACGGGGATCTACGATGGGATTGGTCGAGTAGACAGAAGCAGAGGACAGACATTGTTCCAGCCTCAACCACGAGGAACAAGTTGCGTGAGGTATAGCGGCTAGGAACACTATGGAATGGGAGTTGATTCTTGATCGTGGTTTCAGTCAGCCATCCAGTCGGTTGGGCGGATGGACAAATGGAGTGGACACAGCATGCACAGAGATGGAGGCCTGTATACAGCCTGGAATCTCTTTCGCGACTGCTTTGACATGTATTTGTTTCTTGATCGAGTAAGTTGTCAGTTGGCTTGTAGATCCAAAATCAGAAAACATGATGGTCGAACGCCGGGCAACACAAGTCCTACCAGAGTCTCTCGCTTCCCTGTTCCACATTTGTACATGCATACACTTGCGCACCTTTGTACCCAAAGAAATGTTCGCATACAGCGGGGGTGTATAGCCCCTAAACAGTGGAGCAATTGTACAAATGGCCTCACTGGCTCGCACACAGCTCGCTCTGGATTTTGCTAGTTTACAAGTCACTTTCGTACAGTCTCCAAACACATCACTAGAACATAAGATGCCAAGTAATCCAGAAAGGCTGATGTTCGACACTCACGCAGCTCCAAGCGCAGGATCCAGTCAAACATTTCGAGTGGAGCCTTGGCGTGGAGACTTACCTTCGGTGGTGGTCATTGTCTCGAACACGCTAGACTCTCCTCACGTCAAGTCGATCGCTTCAACAGATGTCGGGTGGCTAGCCTGGGTCACGGATGGCGATTGGTACCAATCGGCCGACACACATGAGGATAGCAGCACAACCATTTCAGGTTCGCATACAGCAAGACCGAGCACCCAGTCATGGATGGCAGTCCCGACCACGGCAGGAGTCCATAACCCGCATGAGACTATTGCCATTTCCGAACCAAGCACTGTATCGAAAATTGACTTGGTCTTCATCATCATTGGCAGCGTCATCGGCTTTATCGTGATCTTGGTTGTCATGGCGCTATGCTCCATTCACTTTGCAAGAAGGCTCTCCAGACGCCAACAACAAAGGGCATCTGAGGAAGCCGCGTTGGAGGAAGTTTTTAGATCAGGCTCAATCACGCCAAGAGGCCAAGGGGTCGGACTAGAAGGATTGCAAGAGGCTTCAAAGTGCAAGCGGGAGGCCGAAGAAGTTGTGTTGCGTATGCCTGAGACGCCCAATAAATCAGACCAAGATGACTTGCGAGAGAAGCCGTGAGAAGGAAAACTGCGAGAATGTGGATTGTGGACCGTGGAACAGAAGCATGGCGGTTGTGTGGAGATGGATGCCTATTATCATAGTACAGTAGCTCAATCTAATGGGGATGATTACAGCCACTCCATCCCAGTTTTAGTATGTACTGATGTTCAATCTGGTAGCAGTAGGTGTTGGGGATGCGGATTCTCATCTTTTAGTAGACCAAATATAGAAGAGTATACCGGTAAAGGAGAGGGGCAACCGAAATGAAACTGCTGGAATGTTCACGCACGTGCAGTGAGAGAGGGACGTTGGGGAAGACAAACGTGGTTGACGGATACGCTAGGCTACAACAGGCCACTAGCGCAGAAGCTCGGAGCCGTGTGGTGCTAAATTTCACGACTTTGGTAAACAAGTGCATGTTTAGATCGCGCCTGGAGCTATTCTTTCTCTCCCCATTCGCAACTCTGTGCAGCCCTGACCAACGTGACGACTGAAGACGCCCTCTGCTGGACCTATTCGCCTGTTCGCCTGCTCGCTGCCACCGTTGCAGTCAGCCACCCAGAGCACCAGCGTTTATTGTTGCTGCCCGCACCCGATACAACCGCCCGCGTACCCCCGCCGCACGAGCACACGAGCTCTCCCTCCCTCGCGTTCTCATATCGCACCATGACGGCCGACATGGACATTGATTTTACGCGCCGGAACAAGAAGCCGCGCCCCTTGTCCGAACACGAAAAGGAGAAGCTCGACGAGTTCATCGACGCCATTCACTATTCAGCAAGGTGTGTTCATTACATGGCATCATCTACATGGCGCGCCCTCGATTGACCGCGGCTCAGGTACTCGGATGACGAATATGAATATCGCCATGTACAGCTCCCGAAGCAGATGCTCAAGATGATCCCCAAAGACTACTTTGACGGTGCGCGGGGTACCCTCAAGTTACTATGGGAGGACGAGTGGCGGGCGCTCGGCATCACTCAAGTACGTAGACTACCTGCAGTGAGCTGGAAAGTGTGCTGACTGTTGTGCAGAGCTTGGGCTGGGAACATTACGAGGTCCATGAGCCTGAACCACATATCCTGCTCTTCAAGTGAGTCGACTTCTCCCCACTTCTCTCAAGCCCACCGGCTAATCCACACCTGACAGACGACCGATCAACTACCAGCCTCCCGCGCATTGATGTAGCCCAACAGCATCGTGCGAATGACGAACCGCTGGGCTCATACTCGTCAACACACACTTGTTGCGTGAGGCCGTATGCGCGCGCGACACCTCCACCTCGCGACACCACCTCTTATCTTCTTTGTCTATTTTGAGCGAGAAACGTTAGATATGACGACGACATGATAACGGCGGAAATCAAAGGGCTTTGCCGGCCTACCCGTTCCCCGGCTCATCCGACAGAGAGCCTCCCAGATCCTTTTGACGAAGGAGAGAAGGGGCAGGGCAGGACTGTACGGAAGCTTTCACATGTGTATATAACAAGTGTCGTTGAGAGCGGGGAGGGATTGTCTGGCCGAGTAAGGATTTTGTGGATTAGGTGATTTACAAGGCTGTCTGTCTCAGCAGGGAAAAGGTTGCAGGAAATTCCATTTCTCAATCGCCTCCTTTGGCCCGGCCTGATTTTCCTTGCCACGACTCCTGCCGCTTTTGACTTTTTTCCTCTCTTTCCTTGCACCAACCTTTTTGGAAAGCTGTCCTTTTTTTTTTCTTCTTTCTTCTTCTTCTCCTCCATCTTTCTTGAAAACTGTCCTCTAGGCGAGATGAATGTATTTCTTCTGGTACAGAGACAGATGCATTGATGGGGCCCAACATCATCACATTGTCCACTCGTTCTCACTGAAATTCGTTCAAAATGTCGTGTACAGTACAGTACAGTACAGTACAGTACAGTACAGTACAGTACAGTACAGTACAGTGCCTACCTCGTCCGCACCACCCACCCCACCAGCCTCCGCCAGATCCAGAGTACACCTGCACCTCCCCTTCGTCGACAGAAGATTGGTAGATACCCAGATCGCGAGACTTGGCAAGCACGCATCCTACCTTACCCAGCAGACAGCGGTTTGCAGGACCAGAAGTATGGGCAAGGAAGATTCGGAGCAGTTGTGTGGGCTGAGGGGTTTTTCTTTTGTGAAAAAGTGAATGGGAGGGGTAACATGGGGTTGAGGTTGTGAAGAGGCATTTTTTTTTCTGGCTCGGATGCTTTTTGATGCCAAGGTTGGGGTTGGGGTTGGGGTTGGGGTTTGTGGGTGAGTTTGGGTTTTTTGCTGGGGATGGTGTGGTATGTGAGAGTTTGAGAGATGGGTTGTGCGCATCATCGTCACTAGAGTACTGCATGTGTGTATGTATGTAGCATGTAACACATACCCGACGATGCAAAAGCCACCGTGACCATCAACCCAAGAAGTACCGTACATTGGTACTACTAAGATACAGTAAGTACCAAGCTCGGCTCCGGACAAAAGCGGCCCGACAACCCAGACCAACGATGTCATCAAGCCAGGGTTCGCGCACCGCCCTTGACCATCCATGCAGATCTCGGATCCCAGCCCCAAGCCCTGGGAGAATTCGTAACGGCAAACGCTAGTACGATAATGACAAGTTAGCAAATGGGGCCATGCGAGATCCAAGGCCTTGTTCTGCCAAGGTCCCCGAGACAAGGTTGGCTTGGCTGCTTGGGGAGAGCGGAGTGGGGAAGCGTGTGTGGGCTTTTGCTATTGTGTTTGATGGGAGGGTTCTTGATCAGCAGGATGCTTATTAGTAGGAGGAGTAGAAAGAGAAGAAGAAGCAATGGCAGCGGCGGCAGCGGCAGTGCCAGCACCATGAGCAAACAACGAGCCGTTGCAGTTCGGTGTAATCAAGAATCTTAACAAACCAGGGTCTATCGGGGGATTCTCCCTCTCTCTCACCGCGTTCACCATTCCGCCTGTCCCTGTTGAGCGATTTCGACGAGGCAAGTGCGGGCGAGTGTTGCGGCAATGGAGGAAAAATCAGAAAAAAAGAGCGAGTGAAACGGAAGGCGTGGTTGTTTTGGATTGCGCAGCAACGGGTTGAAACCCAAGGTTGAGGCTGCGGCTAAATTGACTTTTTACGTACACTGGCGTCCTTTTTCTTCTCTCGTTTCCTTCTCACGCTCTTTGCTCACGGCGCCAGGGGGGTGGAAAGGCAATGGAGAAGTGGTTGTCGAGAGGGTCGGGCGTTGTTTGATTGGCTGTGGGAAGGAGCCATGGTGTAGATAGAGTAGCGCGCGCTGCTCTCTGCGCTGCGGGTGAGTGTGTGCGATGGAGACTTTGGACTGTGAGCGATGATGTATATGGGATGTGATGTGAGTTGTGTGCCAGTAGAGTATTCTATGTTGTAGCCGTGTACAGTACTGTTCTTACCATCATCACCATGTACCATGTAGGTAGGGTAGGTAGGTGGGTATGGCAATGGTGATGTGCAAGGGCGCGGGCGAAGAGGGACTGATGACATAATCCATCCTTCCTGCGCCGATCAGATTGGCGGAGTTTTCCCGAGGCGGAAGGGGGAGGGGCGTGCAGGCTGAGCACTTGAGCTATCGCGGCACTTTGAGCGGAAAACCCCCGATTGGACCCGGAAAGAGCGAGCGGTGAGGGCAAGGCGAGGGAAGGAAGCAAGCGCAAGAGTCCTAGCCTAGAGTCCTGAAGAGGGAGACTGGGAGAGGGAGTGAGGTGTGTGTGTGTGTGTGTGTGTATGTGTCTGTGTGTGTGTAGTAGTATGTGTCTGTGTGGTGTCGGGCGGCGGAGCGGAGATGGCCACGGCAGGGTCCTCCTGGGGGGAGTCCCTGTGGAGACCAAAGCACGCGACTCGCTTCGGAGAAGAGAGGGGATGGGATGGGAGATTGATATTGTATGGTACAAGCATGGCTATCGCAACAGGCTAATGATTGCGCGTGCAACCGTCAGATCTCGGTGGCAAGGCCTTTTTCTTCAGATGCCGACTGGCTGGCCGACAGGGTGGGACTATGTAGGTAGATATGGGCATGTCGGTATGCAAGTCCGTACGGTTACTCTACGGTCTCTTTTTTGATGTTCCAAGGCTGTACCCAGGAGAATATTACTCTGTTGATATTTGCTGGTCTCGTTGTAGTGTTGTAGTCCTACGCACGTAGCCGAGTCTTGAGGACAGACGCTTACTTGAGTCTACCTACTCTATTACTCCCTACCCACTCTACTCCCTACCTACTCTACTCCCTACCGGTACTCTCCACCTCGACCACGGTTACACACGCGATCTCGAGAGAAAGACAGGCCGAAGAAGAATCATGTTGGATCCATGCTTGGGGGGGAGGGGGGGGGGTCGAGGGCAGTGGGCTGGCGTGCAGGCTTGCCCATGTTTCGCGTGTAGGAGGTCTGGTAGGATCGAGTAACGAGTACCTAACAGCAATTCAGTGCTTGGTTGAAGGGGGTTCAGACAGCCTCGACGGGTCCATTGGCAAGAGATAGCAGGCCGGGTTGCGGTTGCAAATCCTTTTATCACACGGAAACCGGAGGGGCAGGCCGGCCGGTGATTGGCCGGGCGGGGATCCCTTATCGCTCGGTGGGCGGATGGGTGGCCAAGGGCGTTGAAGTCGGAAACGGCAGCTAGAGCGGATGGGCGCGCTATTACTAACGAATTCCTCCACCATGGCCCGTGCTCCGACCCTTTTCTCCCAGTCCATGTTAGGCTTCTTGCCCTATCCTTGCCCTATCCTTGCCATCCTTGCCATACCATCCTCACCATCCTCAACTCTATCCTTACACACACACACACACACATACACACACACACGCACATGTTTGCCATTCACACAAGACCTGAACTTGCTGATTTGATCTTGTCCACGCCTTTGGTGCCGAATACAGAGGCCATTCAAGTCTAGTCCACTCCCACTCACTCACTCACTCACTCTCATCCTTCTATGAGGCGATCCTGTAAAAAGCCGA